TCTGCTGGTGCAACTGTGCAGCTCCCCAGTGCTCCACACTGGAGGGCTGACTCGGAGTCACACTAACTGCTCAGGTTAAGCTTCAGCCCTGGTTCATGGCACAGTCACAAACTGTGAGGAGAGACGGAGGGCGTGAGGCTGGCAGAAAGAAGGAAAAGGGAGTTTTCTCTGCTGCAGCACCAACAGAACATTCATGGGAGGGTTTTAAGAGCAGCTTTTTAGCCCTAAAGCTACTTGCATATAGGAAAGGCCGCAGCTGGCAGTCTAGTTACCAGAGTACCTTTATGGTTGAGTTTTAGGTTTTTATTTCCTAAATTTCCTAAAGTTGTGGAGGGGCATTGGATGTCCATGGCTTGTGAAGGTGTGACCCGTAATTCTCAGATACCCCTGGCTTCATATACTAAGCCTGCTGAAAATAGCTGGGTTGCATGTGCCTGGAGCAGCTGCTGCTGTGAAATCATGGACTGTCCCTCCCGTGTTGCAGGGTGATGTCCAGCTCGCTGCTGGAGTGACTGCAGCAATGTGGTGTGCAGCTGTGCGGGATGCCAGAGCGGGTTTCTAGCTCGGATTTAATTTTTTTGTTGTTGCAGCAACTTGTGGACTGAGCGCTGAGCTTCCAGGGTGCATGCGAGGCCTGCGTAGAGCTGCCAGGAATGTTGCGTGGGTGGTGTGGGCTGGGTAGTCCAAACAGTGCAGAAATTCTTGTTTTAAATAGTGCGTGTGTGTCTGGAGGAGAGAATGCCACATGGTGATGCTTTCCTTCCAGGCTAACTGGGTTGCAGTTGGGCAACACATGATGTCACTGGCTTGCAGGGTGGCTCTTTGCCAAGCAGGCGTCGCTTCCTTGTGTGCCKTGGTTCAGTTGACTAGTGCCCTTGAATTCCCAACTCTGGTACCTCACTCAGGTCAACAGGAGAGGTATCTTGAACCCCCAAATCGGAGGTAAAGAAATAAGTTGTGTTAATTAGGCTATTGGGAGAGCTCTGGTACGTAGCACAAAGAACAGATCTCTTCCRTTTCAGATGATCTGGAGCAGGATTCTCATCCTGTTATTTTCCAACCACAGCCTTTCAGCCAGTGGAGTTGTTCAGAATCACATAGCCGAGTCTGTCCTGCCCACTTGACCTCAGCAATGAGGCCGGTGCAGTGGGACCTGCAGCTGGGGAATACACCTTACATTTCTGCTTGCATTTCCTGACAGTGACTGTGAAGTCACTTGACGAATTGCAAATAAGCATTTCTTTATTCTCTGCAGATCTGAGCATGCAGCTCGGGTGGGTAGGTCTTGTGGGGTGGCTCACTGGTTTGAGTGCTATCCCCCTGCCTGTAATAGTATCGAAACAAACAGCACGATGGCTGAGAACTGTCATTGTTACTCAGTGCATTGTCTTTCTCCTGCCTGATGCTCTGCCAGTTCTCTCCTCAAGCCATTTATCTGTGTTAAGTCTTTCCAGTAACTTTATATATCCATCACGAAATGTCAGGTATCTCTTAAAGACTTTTGAATAATAATCTGATATGTCAGATGTTACATCAGGCCTCTGAAGTGACATGTCCGATAGAAGCTTCACTGCTCGTTCCAGCAAGTGGGGATTTATACGTAACATCCTCTGGCTAGAGATCATCTTTGGGAAGCAAACCAGGACTGCACTTGAGTTTCAGTGGGGCCCCTATCTCCAGAATACTGAGTTACAGACCTCGTGTGTGTTTGTGGTATCCCCGGCACTGCTGAAAGAAACCAAACGTGTGTAATCTTGGAAATGGCTCTCATTTTTGCTGTGAAAGCACTGTGCAAGGGGAAATTTTAATGGTGGCTTCCTGTTTTTGATCTGTAGGCTTAAAAATAGAACTACTAAACAAAAACATCACAGGATTCTTTTCTAAATTTTGAACTTATTCGTGATTGCCTTGTTTCACAGAAATTCTTTTTCCCCTTCTCTYCCCTCTCCTCTTCCCCTTAGGTCTCTTCTTCCCTCTTGTAAGGAGGAATCATCTCTTTCAAGCAGGGCTGAAGAGCTAATCGTGGCTTTGCTTCTGGACCACCTAGGACAGTGACAGCTCAGTAAAGCCTCTTGGGCTCACCTGCATGTCCCCTGCTGTCATGACACTTGGGTGGGGATGTTCCTATTTGGTGTTCCTAGAACCAGCCTGTGTCTCTGGGCATTACCCAGCATGTCAGAGTGAGACCAGGAGACAGCAGCAAGAAGCCAAGGAGCAGCCTCAATGCTGGAGGCTCCTGAGGGCAGCCCTGCAGAGCCTTTCTCCAGGAAACCTGCAGGAAGCTCAGCAGAGGAGCTGCAGCTCCCCAGCACAGGATGGTTCTTTTCTGGGCAGCTAATTGTTGCTTTTTTCAGTGTATGTGGCAGCTAGTTCTGTCCTTACCAGCCCACTGAAGCCAAGTGTTGGTCTAGGTCCTTCAAGGGATAAATCTTTGCTTTTTTTGCCTTTGAAACTGGAGTAGAAGGTCCTGGAGTAGATATCAGGTAGAGCAGGAGTGCCCATGACCAGAGCTGCAAGCACAGAAGTTATGGTTACAGCAGTAGCCAGCTTCTTTGCATGGGTCTGTGCTTTTCCCAGCAGCACTGACATATGTGGAGGATAGAGACAGTGATTTGCGTGGATAGAGACAGGGATCTGATATCTGGAATGCGACTGAATTCCAGGCTGCAAAGAGCCTGGAACCCCAAACTTTGGCTTCCTATGAAAGATCAGACCTGGAAGCACTGGCAGAGGCTGATGGATGCCCACTGTGGTCTCAGTGCAAGGTCTCACCCCCAAGAAATTCTGTGGCAGCAGAAGTTTGGAAAGTTGTGTGCAACTTGCCCATGAGCTCTGTCCTCCCAGAAGGTACCAGGCCGTGGTCCCGCAGTGGGGCTGCTTTGCCCAGCAAGAGCAGTTGGAGTTGGCTGAAGAAGGATCCTTTCTGCAGAGGGCACTGCTGTTCACATGGAGGGGAGAAAAAAAGATAAACAAACTTCTCTTGTAGCTGCAGCGGCAAGAGTGAACTCGATAGCCTGGGYTATAAAGGGGCTCTGGAATGTGGGAGAGACAAAGCAGAGCCTTCTTCCAAAGCTCAGCAGCAAACACATGGTTTAGCTCTTTATTATTGTCCCAGAGAAGTCCCTGGAGGCTCCCCGAGGCCGAGCGTTTCTGGGACAGGGCTGCAGCTCCGGGTACCTGCACTTTCTCTTGGCCATGCTGTCTTGGGGAGGAGTTCAAGCTGCCTTGGGATCTTCTGCTGTTCAGCTTAATGCTTGGGCTTTTCCAGGTGGTGGAAACAAGATATTTAACTCCTTCAGCAGCAGTCAATTTAAATAAAGAAAAAAAGAGTCTGCCTTGACTCTGCAGAGCAGAAACCAAGCGAGCAGAGCTGCCTTGTGGCTTTGAAGCCAGGTTTCGTTAGCTGTGTCAGCAGTCACCAGACCCAGTTTTGTATCAAAAATTCTGTTGGGAAAGTGTTGTGTCCTGATGGTGCTAATTAGAAACGAGCTGGAATTCCTTAGCAGTAGTAAAGCAGCCTCTTGTTGGGGCGCTGGAGAGATGTTATTCCTTGAAGAGGCAAAGGTCTCAACAGATTTTACTCCCTCAGAGTGAAAAGGATCCAAGTGAGACCCGTCAAGAGAAGTTGGCTTCAWATATATAGTTTTGCTGAACTTGTTGCTATCAGATGCTTTGCCAACTTTTTTTCCTTTCTTTTTGAGGTAGCATTTCTTACTGAACCTCRGCAATGCTTTTCTTTAAAGTTTCCGTGCTTTACCTAGCAACAAAATGCAACTGAACCACAAAACCAAACATATGGTTCAGTGTGCATTGCTCTCCAGAACAGCATTTGTCTTGAACTGCTGCAATGTTTGAGCCCCTTTGTTTGGCAGCAATTGGGAACACTGGATTTGCTTAACTTYTTGCTCATTCCCTATTTGTACCCTGCCATGCCTTGTTGGGACTGGCAGCAGTCAGTGTGCTAGGTGGGCCCGTTTGGGTGGACTTTATTGCTTGTTCACTGCCTTTTATGCAGCCACAGCAGCTTGTACAGCTCTGTGACTAGAGCTTRGGTTAGCAGCACTTTGTGTGCCTGCTGCTGCAGAGCAGGAGGCTGCCAGGTCGCACTGCCCGTGCCTCCAGCTAACGGATGAAGAGGTTGACCTTGAGTGTGATGGAGACAGCAGTAAATGGCTCCTTGTGGGTAAGGAAGATGCTAGGAAAATGTCTGTTTTCTCTGCTCCTTGGCTTCCCCTCCACAAGTCTGCTCACCTCTGCCTGGCTTGGAAGGGGATAACTGCTAGAGATGAGTAGGGATGCCCCATTTCTGGCTCAAGCATCAAGCTCGAGGTCTAGCCTGTGCTTTTGAGGTATGTCTTGGTATTGCCRCCTGTGTGGCTCCCTGGAGCGAGAGCTAATGAATGCCTGTTTGCAAAACACTTCAACCCACGGACACAAGGTGCTATACAGTCTCGCATTAAACGCAAAGCCTTCTCTTCATGCCTTTAAGCGCTGCTTCGAGCTTGTCTCCGCAGACCCGCTCTGCGTGGCGGGCSGGGGAAGCCGGGTCTGCGCGGGGACGCGGGGCGCGCGTTCCAGCGCCGCGGCGCTCGGCACGGCCGCGTGCGCGATCGCAGGGGCCGGCTGGCCGCAGCTCCCGCGGGGACACCGCGCTCGCCTGGCAGCCCGCTCCAAGCTGCCGAGCTCCAGTGCGGGAGTGGAGAGCAGCTTCAAATCCCCTCTGACCCGCTGGAGGGAGCTGCCCGGGTTGGGGGGAATCTCGGGGGACCCTGTGTCATTATTGGCAGGGAAAGGCGCTGATTATCAGCAGCAGGGTAGCGGCAAGGGGCTGATTATCTGTCCTGCCGTCAGCACAAATAACCCGCGGCCCCCGAGCGGGGCTCCGCCTTTGGTAATGGCTCCACGTAATCACGGCCCAACGGCTTAAAAAGCGAGCAGAAGAGAAAAACAGCTGGACTGACTCTGACCCTAACCTATGTTGCCTTTTCTCCCCTCGCTAGAAGAGAAATATGTCACTATCCAGCCGTACGCCAGCCAGGGGAAGGATGAGATTGGGTTCGAGAAAGGGGTCACCGTGGAGGTCATCCAAAAGAACCTGGAAGGATGGTGGTACATAAGGTAAAAGCGCCGCGCGGCCGGGCTGCTGCAGAGCCTGTCACTGTGACATGTTTCTGATAATTCGCTTCATGTTCACGTTTAAAATTTGCTTCGTGTTCACGTTTAACTTGCGTTTCCTTGCCCAGCTGCAGAATTATCCATAAGGCATCTTGAAGAAATGTAAAGAAAAGGCTGAGACAGTGTGATGGCGATTGAAGTAGCCTTGCAGCATCTGCAAAAGCTGTGGGCTGTTGCAGTGGGGAAATGCCTTAACTTGGAGGTTTTCCTTCCTTCAAGTTAAAAGCCCACGTTTCAGTTGAGAACTGCGGGTCCTAACAAGGATTTCTGTTGTGCATAACTTCAAAGTGTTTCCAGCATAAGAGTTTGTTTCTGTAACACATTTGAATCTATTTATAGCAATGTTGAGAGGCTGGCTGTGGTCTGCTGAGCTGTGTGGGGCAGGTGATGCTATTTTCAGGGATAAAAGATCAATTTGCTACCTTAGCCTTTCTTTTCCAAACCTCCTGATGGCCTCARCTAACTTGTTTCATCTTGCGCATCCAGCTCAAGCATCCAGGTGTGTCCAGAGAATGTATTCCCAGGGCAGGTGAAATTACTGCATATGTAACTTATTAGTTATCAGTTAGTCATTAGGGGCTCCAGTCAGATGAGACCTGTGAGTCAAATCTACTTTTTCAAATGCTTTTGGGAGAACTTAGCTTAGGTGTGTCCCAGGTAAGACATCAGGACACTGATAACACGAGGTGTCAGGATGAGCTGCTGAACAATTCCCTGTTCAGATTCTCACATTGTTTCTAAGTTTTAGTGCCTCTGCCGTGACTCCCCTTGCTTTGTGTCGCACGCATCACTTGCATGCGTGGGACTGCTGTGCTGGGTCATCTCACTTCTCTTCAAGGAAGATGTGATACAGCACCTTAAAAAGGACATTTGCTTTTTTCAGGCAGCCTAAAATATCTCATCTAGTTGCCTTTTTTTTCACCAGGAATGTCTTCATAAGTGGTGATTTTCCCCTTTCCCTCCCTAACTTGCTTTTGTTTGAGCCTTGCCTGATTTATCAGCTATGAATGAAGGCTATGAAAGTGCTGACTGTAGCAATGTTGTTGTTTTTCTTGATGTCTTGTACTTAAAAATATGTGTTCTGTTGGATTTTTTGTTGTTGTTGTTTTCCTTTTTTTCTAATGCTCCCTTAAGGGGAGGAGGTTAATAGTAGAGCCAGGAAGGCACTCCAGATAGGAGGAACCCAAAATGCCTGGGTTTGGTCAGGTCACATTTTTTTCTCCTTTAATCATTCACAGAAGTTAAATCCAAAGCTGCAGGCAGAAGAACTAAGAGTGCATAAGCTTTGAGGGGAGGACGGCCTTGAGTTTACTCTGAAATTCCTTTCCTTCTGAAATACAGCTTTAATTCTGCTTTAGGTTCCCCCTCATCATATTAACAGCTCYACCATAAGCAGATTTTTTCCCCCTCCACTTTTTTTTTCTGCACACATTCCTTTTGGCCAACCCAAAGTGCTCATTTTTCTAAGAATAGCAAGCGTGTGCATGTGAAGCTTTATAGCAGCAGCAGCAGCAGCTCGTTCTGGCGTTGGGCATCACTTGCTGCAGCAGCTTAATTGCTCCTCCACGCAAGTCACCACGGAGGACATCGGAGGCCAGAGGCTCCACGGGGAGGTCGGCGAGGGAGGCAGGAGCCCAAGGCGCCCTTGGGGCCATCACATTGAGCTGGGCAGCTCTGGGTTTTGCTGTGAGCAGGGTCAGACCTCACTGGGTGCTCACGTCCCCAGCGCTCTGGGCGTCAGCTGTGTGCAGGAAAAGCCTCTGCTGCTCTGGGGCAGCGCCTTGCAAGCTTGYTAGAGGATTAATGTGCTTGCAGAAGTACCTTTTTCTGCAGGTAATACCACTAAAAACAGTGGCAGGGTGATCCCTCCCCAAGAAGCTGGTCCTTCACAGCCCATATAGTTGATCTCAAGCTTTTCATACAGTTTATTATGCTTACATTGCTACAAGTGCTGCTGAGTACTGCTCAGAAGATGGTTTCTCATCCCGCATCCCGCTCTGGAAAAAAAAAAAAAAAAAAAAAACCAAAGCCAGTTGCTCGAGATGGAATCCACCTTAAAGGCATTAGCCTGTTCCACCTTAAGCATGTAATTTCCCCAAATTCCTGGCCATGTGCTGATCCTCATTTCCTGTCCTTCTTTTTCTTTTTTTCTTCTTTTTTTCTTCTCCTCCCCCCTCCCCATTTGCTTCCCTCTGGAGTGATTCCAGTGCTCTGGAGCTGGAAAGCAGATGTGACTCTCATACTCAGACTCACAGAGGCACTTTTGACTTTTTTTCTAAACATTCCTATGGTTTGAATCCATTTTTTCCTTCATGTAATATTAACAGGGAGGGTTTTGGAATCAACRGTGGAGCCAAATCATTGCACTAAACTCTGTACTACTCCAAGCCCATTGTAGTGGAAGCTACAGTTAATATCAGTGCCCTTCTCTTTTTGCTCTCTGCATGGTATGTTTTTTTAAGAAGCATTTGGACTTCAGGGCTGGCTTCTAGGATCCTTGCTTTGAGTTAGTGGATCTATGCACTTCCCTGTGGGTTCACCATGCATTTAACCAGCTGCTATGGCTATTCATTATTTGCATCTTCCTTTGTACCAGTTCCTGTCACTGGAGGTCATCTCATGGTGCCTGACCAGCCTCGCAGGCAAGGGGAGGACTAATGTGCTAATGGGACTTGTTATTTGCCTGCTGCTGCTTTTTGTGATTTGTCACCAGCCTGAGCCCATGGCTGGATGCAGCTGAGGTGGTGTTGGGTGAACTGCAATGAGGAGGGAGCTGGGATAAGGTTTGCAGTATCTACTGTAGCTTGTGAAGGTATCACAGAATGTTCAAGGTTGGAAGGGACCTCTAGAGATTATCTAGTCCAACCTTCCTGTTCAAGTAGGGACACCCAGARCACATGGCACAGAGTGGTGTCCAGGCAGGTTTTGAAGATCTCCAGAGAAGGAGGCTCCACAACYTCCCTGGGCAGCCTGTGCCAGGGCTCTGTCACCCTCACAGTAAAGAAGTTCCTCCTCATCTGGAGATGGAACTGCCTGTGTTTCAACTTACGTTTCAACATCCCTGCAGTGAGGRATGGCTTGTACTGAGGCCTGCTTTCAGTTTGGAGTGCATGCTGTAGTTCTCTGTTCTCCTTTTTTGATAGGACTTGCTGTATGGTGCTGGGTAAACATGTATCTTGTCACAGTTCAAGTGCAAGATGTGTGCATTCCCTCTCTGGGTTGTTACCACAAAACTCAGTCTTGCACAGGGATTTCCAGCACAGGCTGGTTCAGGGAGCAGAGCCTCAAAGGGGACGGAGCTAGGTAGATGCAAAGCACTGGGATCTATCGGACGTCAGCTAAGTCGCTGCCATCTTGCTACTGTGTGGGATTGTTCTGGTAGTTCGTGCTGCAAACCTACCTTGGAGGTGTTTGGGTGCTTTTCTTTGAGTGCAGGCTCCTTGAAGCCTTGATGCTAAGCTGTCTGAATTTGGGACATCACATACCCCTGCTTTCATGTGTGGTAGGGTAGATCTTCAGGGAGAAGCAGTGTCTGATCTAGACTGGCAGGAAGGGAAGGACAAACTTCTGGGCACACGGGTCCTTGTGCTGTTCCTGAAAGCACTAACTTTCATTCAGGCAGACTCTGACAAAGTTTAGGGAAGCACCACTACATCATATTGTTGATTTTTCTCCATAAAGGTCTGTTTTGGCAAGGTGGACGAGCCCAGGATGTGCCCTGCAGAACACAGCTGATCTGAGAAGCTAAGCATTTACATGACCAAGGTGTTTTCTGATAGAGAATCGGAGAATGATTTAACATTCTCCTCCCCCCACACACATACGCTTACCCCCAAACTCTTTCATCTGCTGTCTAACGAGTTTCCATTTTCATTAAAAAGCCTAAGAGCCCTATGGGTTTAACCTTTGTATTTCCTGCAGGCTTCCTGAGCACCAGGAATTTAACGGTGCCTGCTTTCCCACTTACTGTTTGAGCACCTGCCTGGGGTATCTTGAGAGATTAAAGGGAGAGAGGTCTCAGTGACTCACTCTGTAGCTAGTTAGGGTTTCATTAAGGAAAGCAGAGTTCATCCGTGTGGCCTTCCCTGGAGTCTGATTGTAATCTGAAATCCCTGCTGAGGTGTTAGGAATGGCAGGAGTTAGAAAAACCATCGTCCCCAAAGCCCAGTGGTGGAAAAGAATGATTTCAGCTTGAAGTACAGTAAGCGCCRTTGGTTTGTGCTCTGGGAACGCTTGCTGGATTCAGGTATCTGYTTGCATTTCCCAGTTTATTTCTTCAAATGGCTCCTAGCTTGTTCGGGAAAATGAATCTCCATCAAGGCTGTTTTTCTTTAGTCACGTAGTTACTTGACTTGCACTGACAGAGTAAGCTGCAATGGGGTGTTTTYGTTTGGGGTTTCTGAGTCCTGAGTTAAGTCCTTAGAAAAGCCAGTCTTACTGGGCTGGTGGTGATGGGAAGAGGGGCAGAGGCTGTWATAGTTGTGGGAGGGAGGGTTTCACCTGTCCTTCAGCCCTTTTSCATTACGAGTTGCACCTAGAATGGATTAAAATTCCTCACTCATTGGTTTGCCTTTTTTTGCTGTATAGGAAACACTGAGTCTGTCCTAGACAATATAAATGTGTCTTGAAACCAGCTGATGAAAAAGTAGCTTTATTCCTTATCTGAAGAGACTCCTTTTGGTCAGAAGCAGCATCTCCCTTTTTACAGTGGTCAGTTGTTTACCGCCAGCTGAGCGGACAGAGATACCTAATCAACAGGTAACAAATGAACAGAGACCACAATAGCTTATCTGAGAATTGCAAGTTTAATGCAAAACTCCAGCGTTTTTGCCTTGACTGTACCTGGAATGGGTGACAGGGCTGTGTTTGTGACAATATTTCCTTTATTTTATTTGCAGGTATCTGGGCAAAGAGGGCTGGGCCCCAGCTTCATATCTGAAGAAGGCTAAGGATGACCTTCCATCTAGGAAAAAGAACTTAACTGGGCCCGTGGAAATCATAGGAAACATTATGGAGATCAGTAACCTGCTGAACAAGAAATCATCGACCGACAAGGAAACCCAAGCAGAAAATGAGACCTCGGAATCCCACATCACCAAGAAGGAAATCAGCTTGCCCATCCTGTGCAACGACTCCAATGGCAATGCCATGATGACCCCAGACAAGCAGGCCTCCAAACTGGCCCAGGGCTCCCCAGCCATAGCAAGGATAGCACCACAAAGAGCTCAAATAAGTAAGGCAGTAAGAAGCTTGGGTTTCCACTGGTTTCAGTGGTGTTTCCTCTCTGCCTTTTGTAGGTGGTGAGTCAGCTAAATGTGTTGTGGTCTTGCAGATGAGGCTGCACGAGCAGATCTTTGTGCTGTGGATCTGCAGGGACTCCAGGACACAKCCTTTTACCAGCAGCAATAAATGTGCTTGCTTTGTGCAAGGGCTGYTGGTATATCTTAGCTGGTATGCAGTTACTTAATATGTTTAGCTTTCTTTTTTTTTCTAGAGGAGTGTATTGTAGCTTTTGAATACTCTAGCATGTGCCCCTTCAATAATGCAGATAATGTGGCAGTGTGAGTCAAGGAGACCTCCTGTGCCTTTTCTTACCTTGGTTTTGCTGTTTCCAAAGCAARTTGCTGTAATGTGCAGTTTTACTATTTCATATGAAAAATACAGATTTTCCAAGTATCTTTGGTCCTTGTAAGAATGGCAAGATGCTGTGACAGAAGATGGTATGAGTGTTATTAATTCAGTGGATTATTTTTATTGCTGGGGGTGGAAAAACTAAACACTAAGCAAATTCCTGGCTGGCCAATCTCCAGTGGAGCCGGTCAGTTCCAGCAGAAAATATAATCTGCTACTTTCTGGCAATGATTTCCTCTTAAACTTCTTAAATTTGCTGAGRTGAATAGCAAATTTATCTTGGTATCTCTAACATTCCCTCATATTTTCCTATATTGTTTCAGAGATGCTTCAAATATTGCAAATACTGATTTCTAATACTCTCAAGCTGTATAACACAGTAGGGAGCTCTTGAAGAATGTGTTTAGCAGTACTTACAAGCCTAAATAAACTTTCTCCTCTTCCTGCTCAGGTTCTCCAAATTTAAGAACAAGGCCGCCCCCACGAAGAGAATCCAGTCTGGTTTGTATTCTTTTTTGATATATAGAAGCAGTGGGATAGATGTGCTGGTGTGTTTTTAGTGGACTGCCTATAGCTTCACAAGAGGGAGGGTATCTGAGAGGTGCTTTATTTGCATAGCTATTCATTTCATTATTTACATACTGAACAGGCCTCTGAACATGCTGATGTTAATTGAGGAATTTCCATTTTTGAAAAGGTTGCCCCCAATTAGGCAAGTGTTGAACTGTTCTTAAATCCSTCCCTTCTCTCAGGTAAAGCTATGATGCTTTGTTGTGCTTGAAGCTGGAAGTCACTTCAGTGACTTTCAGTGCTACTGAAGAAGGTATTTTGAGGTAATGGGATTCRTATGGTCCATTAAGCAATCAAATTTAATTATAAGAAGCCTTTGCAGGTGAGGATGTCTGAGTGTTAAACTGGTGTCACCTGGCAGCTTTGTGCCTGTCCCTCTCCCCTATAGTGGCATAAAAACTGAATTTTTCTCTTATAAAAATTTAGTTTTAGAAAGGGAGAACAGGTGGTGAGTTGTAGTTGTATCTGTGTTGTCTGAGATGTCTCTTAATGAGATGAATAACATGCTGATATTTTCTTCCCATTACACTTTATTTTCTATTAAATTTTGTTTTGACAAGACTACGAAATTTAATTCCATGTGAAAAATAGCAGTGATAATATATATATGAAACCCTGAAATTGTCTGCTGTTTCCAATTATCTTCATTTAATCCAAACCATCCTATAATCTGAAGGCATTTTATTATACTGCATCTTATGCTGTATTTCAGCATTTATAGTGCTGAAACATCTAATTAAAACATTGTTAGACATGGTTCCTAAGATGCAGTGATGCATTTCCTGCAAAATGCCACATGCTGTGCATGATGAAACACAGCTTGCTAGCTGCACTGAGGATATCTCAGAAACCAGAGAACGTGTGAATAAAGACCAGCGTGTCCTTTTTCTTCCCCTTACTGATGGCTTTAGGATCATCTTCTGCCTCTTGCTGTTCTTTGCCCATCTCTTGCAGGCCTAACCTGCATYTATGAGATCCTGAGATGTGACGCACGTCATGCACTGAGCGGTGAGGCTCAGGCTGTGCAGCTTCACCATCCTCTAGTCAWCATGTAGAGAAGCACTGTGATTATCTAGAAGGCTTTGGATAGCAACATTCTTGAAGGGGCTCTCATTGCAGTTATTACTTTAAAAGTAGTTGGAGTAAATTCTGAAAGTAGTTGTAATAAATTCTGAAAGGCATAATCAAAAAGGCTTAATGGAAGAGCATCCATCTCAGAGCAGTGTGGTGTGCYGCCAGAATGGTTTCAAGTCTCCTGTGTTGGGGCTGAGCAGAGGTTCTGGTTTGCCCTCRAGCTCTTCCCTTTCCACTCTCAMCTCAGCTGAAAAGTGTTACAGGRTTCTCTGATATCCCTKTATTTCTTACTGCAGATAGGTCATRCCACTAAAGAATTCAGGTTATTTAAAGTCCAGGGCTGAATGAAGAGCAATAGTTCATTAGCACTGCATGTTAAAAGACTATCAGGGAATGGGCAAAATGTTAGCACGGGCTTGGTGCAACTCCATTTAGTATGRCTGCAACAAGCCATCCAGAATTGAGTCCTTCTGTGCAAAATATCAGGCTAAATGGACTGTTATTGTGGCTGGAATGGCAATGTGCATTTTATGGCCTATCAGTAAAAGTTTTACTGTTCAGGTAAAGATTATCACAGCTTTAATAGCTAGTGAAGGGGTTAAGAACAGAGTGTAGTTTGAAAGGCCAGCTCTCTTGTGGCCATCTCTGCCCCTCAGCTGCTGCTCTAGAGAATTGGGAAGCTGTCATTAAGAAGTAGCATAGGAAGAAGGAAGCGCTTTAGTGAGTAACACTTGCAAAGGCAAACGCTTTTTCATACTGATGCCATTCACCCCATATGTATTTTTATATATAAATATATGTATGTCACTGCTAACTGGACAAAACTACTTGTGCTGTAGGGTTTTCAGTTGCCCAAACCRCCCGAGCCGCCCTCTGTGGAAGTGGAATACTACACTATTGCGGAGTTCCAGTCTTGTATCTCGGATGGGATAAGCTTTCGTGGAGGACAGAAAGCAGAGGTGAGCCCTGGCCACGCAGCTGGGAAAATAATATTGCAGAGGACTGGCTGGAAAACAGAGTGGGGTGAAAAGCAGTTGGTTAAGACTTCTGCCTAACGTGTTGCTTGTCATCAACTAGGTTATAGAAAAGAATTCTGGTGGCTGGTGGTATGTGCAGATTGGAGAAAAGGAAGGATGGGCACCAGCATCTTACATTGACAAGAGGAAGAAGCCAAATTTAAATAGAAGAACCAGTACCTTAACACGTCCGAAGGTCCCTCCCCCAGCTCCTCCCAGTAAGCCAAAAGACACTGAAGAAGGGACAGCTCCTGGAACTGGTTCTTCAGGGGAAGCCCAGGACTCTCCCCACAAGCTGAAATACGAAGAACCTGAGTATGATGTACCTGCTTTTGGCTTTGACTCGGAATGTGATGCGAGTGAAAGCCACCGTGAAGACAGCGCTCCTGAAAAACGACTGTTTCAGCCGCTCAAGCCCTCTCCTGTGTCATCGCTGCAGAAAACAAAATTCAAAGTTGGAGAGTCTTCGGAGGATGTTGCCCATGAAGAAGAGACCATCTATGAGAATGAGGGATTCAGGCGTTATGTGGAAGATGCTTTGTCCAACAAGGAATCCAGTGGAGACTCCGACTCCCAGAAAAGCTCTTCTCTGTCCTCGATTCGAAGGAACTCTCCCTGTTCCAGCTCTCCTAAAACATCTCTTGTGAAGCCCAAGACTGACAAAAATATCCACCCTGATCTTGGAAAATGTCACTACTCCAGGAACGAGGAGACAAAGCCAAGGTCAGCTTCAGATGTGGGCTTACGTAGCATGCCGAGAACAGGTGGTGTGAAGAAAGAGCCAGCGCAGAGCCCCTCCATTAGAGCRAAGCCAATTGTTAGGCCCAAACCCTTCCTGAACAAGGCAGAGTCTCAGAGCCAGGAAAAAATGGATATCAGCACTTTAAGACGTCAGCTGAGGCCAACTGGGCAACTCAGAGGTGGACTTAAAGGTTCAAGAAGTGAAGAGTCTGAGAGCCCCCCATACACCGCTTCTGAGAACCAAGAAGATCCTGTTAGGAGGAGCTCGGCTGATCTCATTACGGCTCCATCCCGTGGCATTTTCTGCTCCAGCCATCAGGCCAAAACTGAGCAAGAAAATGATTCCAGATGTTTCTACGTGACCACTGACTCATACCAAAAGGTACAGGATTCTGAAATCTGCTTCCCAGCAGGAGTAGAAGTAGAAGTACTGGAGAAGCAAGCCAGTGGGTGGTGGTACCTGAAATACGGAGATGCGGAAGGCTGGGCTCCTTCCCATTATCTGGCTCTTGCTGATAATCGAGAAACCACAGCGACGGACACGGATGCCTCGCTTTCCAAGAACAGGAAAAATGAAAACAAGTCAAACAGTTTAGAGAAGATAGAGAAGAGAGTGCAGGCTTTGAACACCATCAACCAAAGCAAACGTGCAACACCACCCATCCCAAGCAAACCTCCTGGTGGTTTTTCAAAAACGTCAGGGCCAGTCAAAATGAGAAATGGTGTSAGGCAGCTTGCTGTCCGGCCACAGTCAGTGTTTGTGTCTCCACCACCTAAGGAAAACAACCTGTCATGCTCTTTACGCAGAAACGAGTCCTTAACATCTACGGACCATCTGAGGAACGTCCGACGGAATTCCTCCTTCAGCAACGCGCGGTCGCAGCTGGGTGACTCCAAGGGAAAGCAGGCGGAGAGGTCTGGCACAGARGGCTTGGAAACCACCTCCAACCTCCCCACCCAGAGGAATGGCATCCCCGTGTCCACTGTCAGGCCCAAACCCATTGAGAAATCCCAGTTCATCCACAACAATCTCAAAGACATCTATGTTTCCATTGCAGACTATGAAGGGGATGAAGAGACTGCGGGCTTTCAGGAGGGTGTCTGCATGGAGGTCCTGGAAAGGAACCCAAATGGCTGGTGGTACTGCCAGATCATGAATGGGGTGAAACCATTCAAAGGCTGGGTGCCCTCAAATTATTTGGAGAAAAAGAACTAATGTTGCAATGTCTCTAACCTCCCTAATTTATACTGTTCCTGCTGTGTACACGTGGAAAAAAAAATTGCTACACAAAAAGATATTTCCCTGTGCCCAAATTTGTACAAAGGGACAAAGGAGTCTGTCTATGCTGCGGAGAAGTCTGCCGTGTTCTGGAGAGGTCTGTGGGCTTAAGGTGTTATAAGCAACCGTGAGGAAGATGCAGCACAGTCAAATGCCTCTTTGTGAAGTTGTTAATAATCTTGTATGTGTAACAGGGTATGACATCCCATCTCTCCCGTTATTGATAGGAAACCAAATGTGTGCCTTTGTGAGAGAAATACAGATGCATCTACTTGAGGAGTTCAGTGCCAAACTCTCATGTTCTACAGTCTTGGCTCCCCTTCTCCTCGTTCTTGTCCACACATGGAATACCCAAGAGTTTTGGATGTGTTTCCACAACTTGCGAGCAGTAAGAAGCAAATGGAAATTGTGTTTTGAAAYGCAGAGGGACTCTAACTCCGTGGAGAAGCCCACTTTCCTCTTCTCAGCAGTTGCTCGGTCCAGAGTTGGAGCCTTTTCATCGTGGAGAGATTTGGCCTCTGACTTCACTTGTGTTTTGTTACTGCTTGCTCCTCGGAAATGGCCATCAGGTGGTGTTTGGGCTCTTTTTTTGTTTCCTTTTGTTCTCTGTCTAGCTCTTTGAGTTGGGATTTTCAGGTGTACAAGGGCAGTGATGCCCACAGGTGCTTGTACAAAACAAACCCACAAACCCCATGCTTAAGCATGTTCATCACTTTATTGGCTCTGTGTTTAGTTCTGGGTCTGACGCCTGCCAGGAGATCTCAGTTAATTTTCTTTGCGGAATGAGGTTTCTCAAAAGGATCATAATATCAAAATTTACAAAACTCCCTTAAGACACTGAAGACAAGAGAGCTGTCAAATGTGTCAATTCCGTTCTTGCAGTCTGGTCCAAATCCAAGCATGCCGACTGCTGGCAGGGCCCACAAAAGTGTTAGTCAGAGATAGCCGTAACCTTCTGCAACATCAGTGTTTACAAAGAGGGAGGAAAAAAAGCCATCAAACTTGGTCTGCACAGCCTAATTTGTATATTTTTGGGGAATTGTTTTTCTGTGTTGTGTTTTTTGTCTTTTTGTGCATTCTGGGTTTACTTTAATTTTATTTTTTTTGTCTTGGTTTACCAGAAGAGACTTAAAACTGAAGCAGAAGCCAAATGTGTGTTTCCGTTCCCACTTGAATCCAAAAGAGTACGTTTGTACTGGAACGTGTGCGGGGCTTTTCGGGCTCAGAGACTTAATATCAAAGCAATTAGGTCGAAAATGTGTTTAACCAGGAGGCTGCCTCTTCTAGTTCCATTCATCCACTTTTCTTAACTCATGCTTTGAAACGTGGCTAACAGGGGTAGCATGGTGGGGAATGGAAGAGGCTTCCATTGGGAAAGGAATTCWGAGTTATTCCTGAGGTAGCCAACTCTTGTACTGTAAACATTGGCTAAATCCCTACTGTACTTGAGAAGGTCTTGGGGTGTTTTTTGTTGTTTTTTTTGTTTTTCCTTATAGCCTTATTAATCGCTTAGGATTGCTSTTTGGTTCCTGTAACTAATAGGCAGCGTTGTGTATGTGTTTAGGGGGAAGGGGCCGACCGTTTCACTACTGGCTTACACCAAATGATACGTTGCCCTTTCTTCAAACCAATTTGGCTTGGAAGGCAAAGAGACTAAGTAGCTGGGATCGAGTGGTTCAGTAAAACAGCACAACGAAACCATGTGTTACTAGGGGTGTTTCTCTGCCAAAAAGAAAAAATTATACAATTTAAACATTGTTCTTGTCTTTTTTTTTTTAATTTTTATTTTTGGGGGGTGGTTTGGGTTTTTGTTAACTGCTATGCTAACATCGGGAGAATTCCTGCGGGCCGAGCTGATGGGTGTCACTTGGTTGGGCTTAAACGCAGGTGGCCTCAGTGGCCATGGCCAGTGCTGGGGTCCTGGCAGCTCTGGGAGCCTCGTGGTGGGGAGGGAGGCCCTTCGGTTGGGATGCACTGGGATGCGCTCGGACTGGAGTGGCAGGAAAAAGAGGCCCCTCTCCCAGTGCACGGAGCCCGCTTGGTACCTTACGTCTTGCTATACGATATATATGTATATATCCAGGTAGCTACATCTTTCTGGATGTCTTTGAGGCGTCGCAGCCCTGTCTCTCATGCTTCTCCCCATTTTTAGTTGTACTAATATGGTGGCAGCCACTAGTGACTGCTGGAGCTGTTGTGAGATTAAAATAGAAGTATTATATTCTTCTGCTGGACAGTATTAAATAGAGCAATACATAGAGTTATCTGCTAGATTGCAGTACTAATAGTAGTGACTTAGTAACTCGTATTAATGTTGTTATGATTTATTTTAACAATAATGATGCGGAAGTGGTTCATTATTTTGAATTAATGCACTTTAACAATAAAAGAAACCAAAACGGAAGCCAATGCAGAGAACCAAGTGCATTACTTAAAGGTGCAGTATATAATTATCACTTTCTTCAAGCACATATTTATTAAGAATTAACTTATTTWAAAATATGCTCAAGTTTTTTTGTTTGGAAACATTCCCCGAGCTCACCTCTCCGGGAGGCAGGGAAACGCGAGCACAGCTCCCAAACCTTCTGCATTGAGCRCCTGGGGCTCCTGCAACAGGGCAGCGGAGAAGGGTATTTTTAAATGAAGACCAAAAAAATGTTGTTTTCCTCTCCTCTCTTACATTTTTGTAATATCTCAGTGATTTTTTTTTCAACTGCAAGATCAGGATAATATATTTTGAATTTCCCCCACCCCTCAGCGAGCAGCTAGTGTGCAGTGGGCCCCACTGCCAGCCCAAGGAGCGAGCCCCAGAGCCTGGCCTGCAGCTTAGCCAGCCCAGCTCCGCCTGGAAGGGCGCCTGGAGGACCACGGAGCACTTGGGAAGGGCTTTGGATCCTTTCTCAAACCACGTCTCCYTAAGCTTTACGTGCTAAATTCGTCAGAGCTGACACTGGATCGAGAGCGATATTTATACGTACCATTGACCTCAGTAAACACTCAATGCAGAAATCAATAGTACTGTTGAAATTTATCTTTTGTTCTTTTGTCTGACTCATTCTTGCACCCGCCTTGGCAGAGGCCGAGCCTTGCGGAAAAGCCTTGGGAAGCCGGAGGGAGCCCTCCTCTGGGAGGAAGGAAGAGGCGGCTGCCGGCGCCCGCCTGCCCGCCCGCGCCCGCAGAAACCCCCAAATCTGATCCCACAAATCACAAATTTGAGAATGTGAAAATTGCATTTTGCTGTATACTGCAACTTTAATGATAATGAGCACTTCTGAGTTCGTTATTGAGGTTTATATAATGCCTGAAAAGTTTAATTGCTATTTTTGCCTCGTCTCCCCTTCCTTCTACCGGCAGCAGTGATGCGTTTGTCTGCTGCTGCTCCCYGCTGGACAAAATTCCTATAAATTAATCTTGTCTCTTTTGCCTTGAGACATCGGGCTATAGTCCCAYGTACCAATCTGGCCAGCCAGACACTTCCAGGTAAAAGACAGGATGGGCATGAGCCAGGATACTTAGCTGAAGAAGCTTTWAAATCACTGTGTACCTTAATAGCAAATACACCATAATGAAGTGTCAAAATTGGCTCCTGGTTAAATCCCTATAAATTGAATTTCAGGTCTGCACCGGCATAGCTCAGTGATTTCGGCCCCTGTGGGCAATGCACCCCAAAGACTCCTTCCGTTACGATGCTTTAACGTATTGACGAAGGCATTATATAATTGTTTTCATCACTTTCAGATCTTAATGAATCATATTTTATTGTAATATATATTCATTGCTTTCCTCAGTTAAAAAGCAAGTTACTGCTTTTATCTTATATGAAAAACAAGGGAATTTGATAAAGCATTCATTATTTTCATATTACTAGTATTAACAGAATAGGACTAGTACTATTTAATTTTAGGTCTTCATAGGTAGCCTGTTGATAAATCATATTTTCCTGTGTTGTAGCCTACTAATTTCTTCTGTGTTTTTTTCCTTCCCAAATAATCTGCATTCTTGAGGGGAAAAAAAAAAAAAAAAGAAATCCAATGAGTGGATAAGTGCAATATTGATAGAATAAACAGGCCCCTCATCCAGGACTTGGAGTGGAACGTGCAGTGTGAACTCGTTGCAATTTCCTATTCGTGCACTCTTAGGGGAAGGGGAAAGGCAGGGGTGGAATGGCTGCTTTTKGTAAGGAAGCGTCACCTCTGAGTGAAGTGGACAGATTTCACAGCATGTTGCCTGGATTTCTTGCAGAATGTGCATTAACATCCTCGTTGATAGAGGCCTCCTGAGCTGTGCTTTAAGTGCTCTTGTCCTCCATGCATGATACTGTCTCCCGTGGTTGTGTCCTCTGGTTTTTAACCCTCTCTCATCAGTTCTGAAGCCCAAACACTTCTGGTGCAGTCCCACGTCTTGATGCTCCGCTCTTCCTTGTATTTATTGCAAGAGCTACAGGCTCCTTCCAGTTCCTGGTTTATTTTCTCTCCCTTGTTAAGCCAAGGAGAAGGGGGGAAAAAAGCACCCCAAATTGGGTTATTTCTTACCTGCAGAATTTCACAGCTATTTGGGTTGCTTTTTTTTTTTTTTTTTTTTTTTTTTTTGCTTTCCAAGGTTGATCTCTCAGGTCTAAAAGTCAGGCAGAAATTCTGCTTTTCAAAAGAAGTTTTGTCTTAAATTCTGTTTTGAATGGAAGGAGAACTTCTGGCATCTAAACCAATATTGACTTCTAGGTGGCAGCAAAAGCCACCTTTGGAAAACTGGACTATTTTTATAAAAATTGCAAAGAAATGTGAAAGCCAGAGCATTTGATACTCTGGGCTCCTAGGAGTACCTTTCCTCTTGCCCTGTTCCACGTCCCCAGAAGGGAGATGTACCTCAGCTCTTTGCTCCTTYGCTCTCATCCTGCTGTTCTTCAGTTTGTGCCGGAACACCTGGAAGAGACCTTTGCATTCCAACAGAACCGACTCGTGCAGGTCTCTTCCAGAGTCGCGGAGCTGTCGCTCTTTCCGTGCATCCAGCTGCTTTGCAAACACGCCGAGCTCGGAGGAGCCGACCTCCTCGAGCCCCCTGCGTGCCAGGCGCTGCCTGTACCTGTGTCTTCCACGGGTCCCACCAGGCTGGCCGGAGCGTGGGTGTCCAGGTGGTTTTTGCCTGTCTGCCCCTCTGCGTCCTGCGGCTGCCCTTGCTGTCAGCGCGCCCGGGCCCTGCTGCTCCACGGGCCCCACGCCTGGCTCCCTCGCACCGCTCCCGCTCACCCGGGCCACGTCGGGGTCCCCCGGGAGCTCCTGGATCGCCTTTTCCCTGCGGGATGCCACAGGGCTCCCCTGGACGCCGCTCTCCCCACTGGTGCAGCCGGAGCAAACTTAATTTCTCCCCTTTTATAATGTCAGGGCTGGGCTGGTCCCATTCACAATGTTGTGCATTTGTTCTTGCATCGAGGTAGCGTCGATTTTAGTTGGAGAGTGCAATTTTTTTTGTTTTGTGTTTTTTTTTTAAATATAAATAAATTTGGTTTAAAGCTTCACACTGGCGTTTTACAGACCTGTTATTGTCAGCATAAGCCACTRCTGTCCTGAGTTGAGACTCCTGTTTGTTACTGAATCAAAAGAATGGGAAKTTTAGTAACAATTGGGTAAGAAAGAAGAGGTAGCTACATTGGCAGGGGAGGGATAGATAAAGACAAAATACGTAGAAAAATAAGGAAAAAGGCCATAAATAACTGGGTCTAACACTGCAGGTGCTTTCTCTGTATAGCTGGTTTCAATACGTGGCTGCTCTGTGTCAGCGTTCCCCTCGTGAGCAGCGCCGAGTTCTGCGCTCCGCGCGGTGYGAGGACGGTCTGCAGCCTGAGGCCGATGGTCCACAA